TCTATCTATCTATCTATCTATCTATCTATCTATCTATCTATCTATCTATCTATCTATCTATCTATCTATCTATCTATCTATCTATCTATCTATGTCCGTCAATGTATAAATAAATCCTCAAATTATTAAGCAAAATACTATGAAATGTGCATGTCGGCTAATGGCATTTGTATGGTATTTTGGTTAAAAATTTGAGAGTTATCCACAGATGAGTTTCATATACACAAGTTTATACAGTACATTTATAGAATAATACTGCAGTGAAGAATATCTAATGGCATAGACAATAGCATATTTTCTGACATCTCCAGTATTTTTATGTCAAACAATAATCTCTCGGATAATGATCATCCCCATTAATGAATTTATTATTTAATCCTTCTTCAGAAATCTTATTATTTGTCAGTCACCTGGAAAAGGCTAGGAGCATAAGGTAAAAAACCTCCCGCCTTTTAATTAAAAGAAAAATTTAAAAATAATTTGCGTCAAGCCCCACAATTTCATCATTCAGTTTGTTCATGAGTGCTCAGTCCCAATCCTAGACCATGGCTTCCATACATTAACTTCATGTGTCCAAGATACTCCTGTATCATTAAAACCTTATTCCAGAACTGCTTGGTGAGGTACATTGGATTGGATTTGGATTGGATTTATTAAATTTATAGAACTCTGGGCGGCTTACAGAAAATAAAATTTTAAGAAAAAGATTAAAAACAAACAAAAGAAAGCAGATTAAGTTTCTGTAAACTTCTATAAATCTGACTATCAATGTACACTTCTAGGACAAAAGTAATTAATAGTTTCAAGATATAACTAATACAATATTTCGGTTAGTAGTTCTGAGCATCCTACATCTTACTGGAAAAAAAAAGTGAAAAAACACAGGAGGCCTCTTGAAAGAAATTTGATGAAATCTTTAAATCAACAGTACTCTGACACATTGTGTCCCCTGCTTTTTAAAAACTTCCTTCCCTGTCTTCTTTTGACTTAGTCAAGGAAATTGTTTTAAAACTCAATTTTAACAACAACTCAGGTTCCAGTTGCAAATTAAATTTCTATCCAGAAAATTTAATGAATTGGAATCTAGTGCCCTCAGGGTTACCTAAATAGTGCAAATAGGTGGCGTTTTGGGGGATGCAACCCCCCCCAAACACCCCAGGGCTGGTGGGCGCTGGGGCAAATCACAAGAGCCTAGATTGCACACACACACTTGTGCCCTGCAGTCCAGAGGTGGGTTCCTACCAGTTCGCACCTATTCGGTAGAACCGGTTCGTCAAATCTA